AGGTTGGTGTGCTTTTTCTGTGTGAACTTTCATGATGCCTCATTTAGATGGCTGCTGGTTTTGAGACAAACCTTTAAGACAGCAGTTCTCAACCTGTGGGTCGCGACCCCTTTGGGGGTTGAACAACCCTTTCACAGGGGTCGCCCAATCCATAACAGTAGCAAAATGACAGTGATGAAGTAGCAACGAAAATAATTTTATGGTTGGGGGTCACCACCACATGAACTGTATGACAGGGTCATGGCATTAGGAAGGTTGAGAACCACTGCTTTAAGGGATAAGAATTTGCTGACCCTTAGCAGAATTGAAAATATTGTCTCTATATCTGTGGGTGGTGGGTCCCAGGACACCCCCCCCCCAGCTGGATACCAAAATCTGCAGATTCCCACAGCTCTCATATAAAATGGTGGGGTGTTGCCCTATAACCCATGCAGATCCTCCTGCAAACTTTAAGTAAAGAATCTCTTTGCCCAGCCCACTGCCATCCAGTCAATTTGGACTCCTAGAGACCCCGAGGGTCTCTGCGGCTTTGTAAATCTTTACTGGGGCAGACAGTTTCATCTTTCTCCCAAGGAGCCGCTGGTGGGTTTCAACCACTAACCTTGCCATTAACACCTGACAACGCCACTGGGGTCCTGAAGTCATCTCTAGATTACTTATAATACCTAATGCATCATAAGTGCTATATGAACAGGATGTTATACTCCTTTTTAGCCTTTGAAGGATGACTGACCGCTTACCAGTAATGATTTTCCTTCTCAAATATTTTGGATCCTTGGTTAGTTGGACCGTCGGATGTGGAGCCTGTGGGTATGAGGGCCAGTGTGTGAGTGGTCAGGGGCTTACCGTGCACAGATTCCTCCTTGGAAGGAAAAAAGAAGGGCATGGTCTCTGCGGTACTTACTGTGCACTCGATGCATGTGCTCTCTGCATATATAATCATACCTGACCCTCAGCTCTCTGCCATCGTGTTGATTAGCTATAGCACAGAGTGGGATTCCCCGTGTGGGTTTCTGAAACAGTAAAATTTAAAGATTAGCCTCCTCTTTCTCCCTTGGAGCAGCTGGTGGTTTTGAACTGCTGCTCTTGAGGTTAGCAACCCAACTAGTAAGCACTGTGCCATTAGGGCTCCTGATGCTCAGAGTAACCTTCAAAAAGCCAAACTAACTCATTGCCAGTTCTGACTGTTGGCAAAGCAGGAAAGTGGCACAGTGAGGTTGGGTCCCAACCCTGATGCATCTGCTTCCCGCATACATAATATGACCTGATCCTCAAAAGTTCACTGCCATCAAGTCAATGGTGACTTATATTGACCTTGTGTAGGGTAAATCTTTAGGGGAAGAGAATCAGCTGGTGGACGTGAACCACAGACCTTGTCATTTGCCCACCACCCAGCCCACAGCACCACATTATACCTTAGTGAAGTGCCTTTACTGTGGTGCCCGGGAAGAAACTGGAGGAGGAGTGGTTGTCTTACAATGTAAAAGCCCAAAGGTGTTAGTGCTATGCCAGGCCTCTTGGTACCCCAGCAGATCACAGTGGTTTCTTGACACTTCTTTAAAACCGCAGCCAAGACCAACTGCTGTCTGTTCCCATAAAACGATGTCTCGGGAACCCGGGGGAGCAGTTCTGCTCAGTCACAGAGCGGCTCTGAATCAGAATTGGCTGTGCGGCAGCTGTGGGGAATGTCAGCTGCTAATGATGGGAAACTGGATGTGGGGCAGATGGAACAGCCTGCCCCTGTCTGCACAGGTTTTCCTTGTAAATCTGAAGTTTATAGGAAAAACACTCCGCTTGTTACATCGTGATTGTGATCACTTCTGGAGAGGCGCCTTGTGTCTTGCTACTTAAAACCTCTATTTCCCTCCTGGGACTTAGAGTCATTCAGCTTCTCAGTGACATTAATTGCTTAACGAACCAATTCTTAGCATTTGCCTTTTTTTTTAAGGGCCACAATGAGTCTGTTTGGAACAACCTCGGGCTTTGGAACGGGTGGGACCAGCATGTTTGGCAGTACGACCACAGACAACCACAATCCTATGAAGGTACCGCAGCGAGCTTCCTGGAGTCTGTCGGGAGAGGGCAGGCAGGGCTGCCCTCAGCAGAGAGGGTGGAAGAGAGAGCCCAGGCGGCTTGAGGGCCGTCTTTGGGCTTCCTTTTGCCAACAGCGTTCTCAACCCTGGAGCCCAGAAACTGTGCCCCTTGGACTGGTGTCCTTCCAGCTCGGGCTCACCACGTCCCAGGAATCTTCCAGGGCTGCTTGTTGAATTGTAGTTCCTGGGACCCCGACCACAGCTGTCAGATCAGAATTCTCACGGGATGGTCGCCGGTGACTGGCTTTTGTGATCAGGCACTTTGGAGCAAGAGTGAGCTGATAGCACAGTTGAGTGCATTTTCTGTGGAGGGCTGCTTTTAGTCCTGGCAGTGCCACCCTCTTGCTGGCTACTTCAGGCAGTTCTGGGGCACAGGGGAAGTCCATGATGCCATGTTTGGTGGGAAAGAAAGCAATTTGGAGTTGAATTGTCAAGATGCGTACATTTAACTTGCTTCTCCCCATCCCCAGGATATTGAAGTGACATCTTCTCCCGATGACAGCATTGGTTGCCTGTCGTTTAGTCCACCAACCTTGCCAGGGAACTTCCTTATTGCGGGATCGTGGGCGAATGATGTAAGTGCTCCCTAAAGACGTGTGTGCTCCATCATCACTTCTGGCTGTGGGCAAGGGCAGCGTTTATGGTGGTGAGCAGGGCAAGGGGAGGGAGTTCAGTTCTTTCCAAAGCAGATGACACCAAGGTAAGGCTTACCTGGGGCTTCTGTAAAGAAATAAGGTTAGAGGGTGTGACCCCTCCTGGATGGTAGGCATCACTTGTTGTGACTCTGATTCTTGCAAGGAAAACATAAGCATACAGGATCACTTAGAAATGTTAACCCAGGTCTGTACATGTGTTCCCAAAGAAAACGCCATGCTTAGTGAGGGTCAGTGTGACAGGGGAAGAATTCCCTCCTCAGCATCCTGAAAATGCTCTCCAGGCCTGTGTTGCACTAACAACACCCTGCAGAAGGATTATCCCTATCCAACCACTGTGTACCAAAAGGAAAAAGCGGGTTAAAACACACGCACACAGAATGTAGAAGGGGGCCACTGAAGCAGCAGGGCCAGGGCCGGAAAGTCGCCCGTAACCCTCCAGCCTCACCAGTCACCCGAGAAAGACACATCGAGATGAACAAATACAGCGTCTAGAAAAACGAAGCAGGCCGGCAAGGGCAGGCCAACGCCTTACAGGTGCTCTTGCTCAGTGTGGAAATTGCTGCAGTTCTTGAAAAGCGTAATTGGCAGTGTGTATACCTGTGGTCACCTTCATTTCCTTTATGGGGCTTGAGGAAATTAGACAGTTAAATTATCTGATTTATCTGTATGGCAGCCAAAGTAGTACAAACTGATCTCCCCCCTGTTCTTGGGGTCAGGATACGGGGAAGGAAAAGACCTGGCCCAAGGTTCTGTGTCTGAGGGAATGCCAAGCTGGGTACAGCGCTTTTCAGGCTGGCCAGGGGTGTGGCTCATAGTCACTGCCCGATCCTGCCCCCCCCCCCAAAAAAAAATAGTTTCTGTTAAATCGTGCTGTCTCTAACAAGTGTAATACTGAGTAGTGACGATGAAGTGTACAGCGTGCCCATGTGCTACATTACCATTTCTTGAGATTGTCGAAAACGGTCTTCAAACGAGGGCCTGTGGTTTGGGAAAGAGAGGCACAGGCGTTTGCTTCCTGTAGTTTCTGGAGATTTCTGTTGGTTCACTGCTAGGAAATGTATGAGGACATCTGTGATACAAGAATGTTTAATGACAAATTGACTAAGGGCCCAAGGGAGACCAAGCGCCATTATAGAAGTGAAGCTACTGTGTAATCACGTGTTCTCAAGAAAACAAGCATGTTGAAAGGAGATTGAAAAGGACATCGGGGTGTTGATAGTGGTGGTTCCTGGTGGGATGGTTCCTGGTGGGATTCGGGGCAGTTTTTCTTTCAGTGTTGTATTTTGATTTGGATGAAGGTTTACAGAGCAAATCTGTTTCCTGTTCAGTAATTTACACCCTTTTTGTTTCGTGTCATTGACTGTAATCCTCTCATTCCGTCACTTATCCCGCTTCTTCCCTGTCTTCCTCTCCCATCCCTTTTCCTTTCCTAACCCGGCGCCCTTTTGACTCAAATAGTCGACCATTCAAAGGTGTGCAGACCTTGGTGTTACGGTGCCCCTTACCGACGTGTCCATTGTCGGGTTAGAAATTGAGCCACAGGGGAGTTCATTTCTAGGCCTGAACTAGGGGCCGTAGTCCTCGGGTTCCACCACTCTGTCCAGCCTGGCCTGTGGTGACCCCCCCCCAACCATAACATTATTTTTGTTGCTATTTCATAACTATAATTTTGCTGCTGTACAACCCACAGGTTGAGAACTGCTGCTTTAAAGTGATTCCTTTCAGAGCAGATGGGCACTATCTAATTTTCTGGTCTTAGGGCATGGAGATTGATGTTCACGTGCCTCATTAGCCCGTGAGACTTAATTGTCTCCACGTTTCTTTGATTTGTATCACTCTTCTTTCCTCTGGGTGGAGAGACACCAGTAGTTGCCCCTTAGGTGGCTGCTCATAGCTTTTAAGACTGAAGTCGAACATTGTCTTTGTGGGCTGTATTAGACCAGCTCACTTTGGTGTGCCCAAGACCTTGGACCTGAGGGTCTTCATTTCTTATGTCTGAGACATTTCCATGACTTTGCCTCCATGTGCTCCACCACATTCATGGACATATTTGCAGCACAGGTAACACCCATGCATGAGTATCCTGTGCCAGAGGGTATGTGTCTGTGGAGACACCCCCCCTCCTGTTGGCATCGTTCGCCCACGTGCCTAGTCAGGCAGCTACTCTGAGTTCCAGGACCGGATGCAGCAGTATTGACTCCGTCCCCTTTGACTCTTGCACTCCTTCCAGCGTCCTCCCTTCCCACTTAGCTTTTTTTGCTGACATGTCTCTTATTGTATATTGCCTTCCCGTTCACCCATGTGTCTACCCTCCAGGTGGTAATTTGCTCTTTCTTCCCCACACACCCCTGGTAACCATCAAAGAATGTTTACTTCAGTGTGAAACTTCTTTTGTCTTATAATAGTGGCCTTGTACGATGTCTGTTGTCCTCTTGTTACTGTGTCACTCAGCATCCTGCCCTCCAGCTTTACCTGTGCACAGAGCAGTTCCCCAGAGTCGTTGTTAGTCACCATCACGCGGTCCTCCGTGGCCTCATAGTCCGGGAATGCGGCCAGGTTTTATGTTGTCATCATTACAAGATCAAGAGCTTAAGAAAGTGCATCACTCTTATAATCAGGGGAAATGCAGATGTGCTTAGAGTACAGTATCAAAGAAGACAGGCAGGCTCCCTCTTTGGGCTCGATTCTCTGTCTAGCAGGGGTAAGTGACATCTGTCATTTCATAGATGTGAAGACAGTACCATGTATCGTTTCTTGGATAGGCAGTAGATGCTGTATTTTTTAATGCCTTAGAAATAGAATTGTAGCTGCTTGAAAACACCTTACTTGCTTTGTTTTTCAAGTTCAATGATTAGGCTGATAGGAGAAGTTCATGTACAGTTACTTACTTGGTGTTACAATTCTGTGCTGTGTTGTGAGTGGTTTCGCTGATATCTGGTTGCCTTACATCTGCAGGTCCGCTGCTGGGAAGTTCAGGACAGTGGACAGACGATCCCCAAAGCCCAGCAGATGCACACTGGGCCCGTGCTTGATGTTTGCTGGAGTGATGTATGTCCCTTCGACCTTCCTACCATCTTCTCTGCTAAAAAGCCCTGTGTGGTGCGGGGTGTGTAATAGCCTGCAGCACGTTCATATGGCGCCAGGAGCCCCACCTCCTCGCCTGGGCCTTTAGTGGGTTGTTCTGTGTGCAGACCCCTTGGGTCTGGCCAGCTGCTGCTCCACGGGGATGATGACTCACCTGGGGCCACGTGGCAGCCTCTGGGGACTGGACGGGGTCCCCTCAGCCCCACAGCAGCACTCCTCTCCTCTGGGATTATTCCCTTGGTCTGGTCACACCTTCACTTACAGAGTGAGGAAAGGTTCATCTTCGCTGTGACATGAGGTTGACAGACTGCGGTCCTCGGGCCAAATAGGACCCATCACTGGTTTTGTCAACGTCTTATTGGAATAAAACCACCAAACCCAAACTCGCTGCCATCGAGTCAGCACCAACTCACAGTGACCGCCCCGTGAGTTTCCCAGACTGTAACTATATATAGCTCCCACTGCCGACCCTGCGAGTCGCAGCCCAGTGCGTGACCACTGTACCACCAGGGCTCCTGGAGCACAGCCATACCCCTCCTTTTCTGTGATGTATGAGGCTGCCGTCAGGCTGCCACAAGACAGTCTGATCGTTGGGACAGACCTTCTGGCCCAAGAGCGCTGTGCTGTCTGCCGCTCTCTGGGAGGGTTGCTGAACCCTGGTCTGCACAGCCCCTCGGTACTTTCTTTCCTCGCATGAGCTGAGCTGCCCCATATTTGACTGAATGGCTTTTGAGTTCCAGATACAAGTATTTAAGAATTACCAGTGAGATAATTTTAAAGCGGACTTTAGAAAGATCTATAGTTATTATGAAGTAGTGTTGTATGGGTGTGTGCCAGGTACTTTGGAGTGCTGTTAAATATGGAGATCAATAAAACTGTGTGTAGGTGTAGAGAGAGAACATGTAGCCAAGTGTCTAGGCAATCTAGGTCAGGGGCTTGGGTATCCATTTTTATTCTTGTAGCTTTTTAAAAGACTATTTTGAAAACACAAACATGTAGTAATGCCCCCTGGTGATGTGCACGGAGACTACCCTGGAGAAGTCAGGGCCGGGGGTGGGAGGGGTGGATCTTTTCACTCTGTAACCTATGTGCCACTTGGATCTTGGATCTGAACCCCTTCCACATAGGATCCCTGAAACATGACTGATCACATAAAGCAGTGCTGAGAAAAATGTGGTTTGTGCCTGGCATGATAAGTTCATAATGCACCAGCCCCCACATAATTAGAAACTTGTTGACTAGCAAACAGAGAGCTTCCTCAGTGATGTTCGACCAAACCTCAGTCAGTGTGTGGCACCTGGTTTGTGTGAGAATGCCAGTTGTCTCCTCACCTTTTCTGTTGTAGGATGGGAGCAAAGTGTTCACAGCCTCGTGTGATAAAACTGCCAAGATGTGGGACCTCAACAGCAACCAGGCGATCCAGATTGCCCAGGTCAGAGCCCTGCCACTGCGGTCGTGCCGGGTCAGGCGTCTGTACTGTCACTGCCGTCACTTTGTTTAAAGTGCACATGTCTGACACCCGCATTCGCCGGACCTCTCCGTCCCAGGAGCCCCTTTCACGTGAGAACGCCGGTTTGCTCGCCGTGCTCAGCCTGCTAAGTGTTTCGGAGACTGCTCTGCTGGGAGTCTCCTGTGTGTACCTGAGGGCGGCCGGAGTGCAGGCTGGCCAGACTGCAAGTGGGCCTGCTCATTCACATGCAGGCTCTCAGCAGCTGTGTAGGGCTGGCCTGTGACCAAGCGGGTTAGGCTCCTTCCTGTGAGAAATACTTGAGTGCCCTCCCTAAGGTGGGACTGTCACTGGGGGCTCGGGCTGCCCAGTCAGTAGGATGCTTCCGTGCCTGTCGGGGTTTCTGTGGCTCCTACGGCAACAAGCAGGTTTTTGTTTCAAGGAGACTAAGAAAGCCGGAGGTAGACACAAGCACGAGAAGTTAGAACCGGCCTCGTGGGAGAGCAGCGTGCTTCGCACGGTGTGCTGTGCTATGAGACCGTGTGTGTTGGAAGCCTTTCCCGGTCTCCTGCTTGCATCTACTTCATGAGTGGACATGTGGTGGTGGGGTCCCCTCGCTGCTCTTGAGGAAGGGGTTGCTTGGACTCAAAGTTAGTTGCCTTTGACATCCAGGGAAAGTTTGTGACAGTGGAAGGTCAGTAGGTGCTGGTACCCCAAAGAGCATGTTGTGATCATAGGAGGGGCTGCCACGCTCAATTTTTGGTGTGATCCCAAATCCAAATGAGTCCCTGTCTGGAACTAAAGTCACCGGGCCTAGTGTCGCGGTGACCAGATATGTGTTGCTTTTGATCGTTGGCAGCATGATGCTCCCGTTAAGACCATACACTGGATCAAAGCCCCAAACTACAGCTGCGTGATGACCGGGAGCTGGGACAAGACCTTAAAGGTACGCCGCCCGCCCCCCACCCCCCCCACCCCCGACCCCTGTGGAG